CTTCCTGAATGCCATCATCCCATCAGCTCATCAGCTCTGCAACCAAGTAAACCAACTTCCTTTAATTCTAACAACCTAAGCTGTTCTGTTAACCCTGCTATAAGTCTCTAGGGTCGTGTTTCCACAAACTGGGCTTGCTTTGCAGAACAGTATTTCCCTTTTAAGGTTACTCATTTAAATCCGGTCATTGCATTTCCATAATTACATTGTTTGTTTCTATTCCGTTATTTCGTGTTTGTTGTTTGTCTTAAGTGTAATGTTAGTGAATCCCATTTAAGTCTCACACTAACAGACTTACGGGCATACCTCAATTGAGTTTGGAGGAGCCGACCATTCGGCATAATAATTGATTAATAAGCAGCATTAAATAATAATTAATTAAAATTGAATTAATTAAAAACATATTGGTGGAGATATTAAAATTTACTTCAGCTAATAATTCCTACAGCTTAATACAATCCATTGCCATTTTGACTAGTAAGAATATAATTTTGCCTAGGAGAAATGATATTATCAGGGTTCTTGCAGGTTTCAGTAAGTTAAATTTAAGACCTTTTTAAGACATTTTAAGACCATTATGAGTAAAATTTAAGACCAACACGATGCATTACAAGAAACATTCTAATGGTACCAGAAATTCTCAAAACATTCTATTTTTATTGATTCAATATTAAAACAGATAATCAAAATACTTAAAATGATAGAACTTGACATACATATTCCCAACACAACACTAGCCTAGCACATACAACCTAATCCTGCATATGCTGGAGTTCATCCCCTTTAGCACCGATTTCAGTTTCAAGGACTTTCAGTTCAGCAAGTTTTTCTTTGTACGCCCTTCTCAGGGCATTGGACTTGAAGAGAAGTTGAGCCATCTTGGAGCCAGCCCGCCTCTCAGCTTCTTCTGCAAGTACATCTGCCTCTCTGACAAGACAGGCGGACACATCCTCCAAGCTTGTCTTCCTTTTCTTAAGGTCCTGCAGAGACTGCTCAGCCAGCTTTCTTTTCTGGCTCTGGGATTCCTTTTCTTTTGTGATGCGCTCTTCGTCCAGAAAGAGGCGGTATTTTGACCGAGCTGCACCCACAGATGCCATAAGTTCCTTGGTGAGGGGGACCTGAGTGATACCCCCATGCATTGCAACATAGTCACATATCAACCTTTGTGCAACGATTGTGTGTTCTTGCATGTTTTCGGTCTCCACCTCCTTGTTGATAGAAAATCCCCTTTCAACAGAGGCCTGGCCATGTGAAAGCAGCAGTAATTTCTGGCAAAAGTCCCAAGCAGCAGGGTAGGGTCGGCTTAATCTCTCACGCAGGAAGGTGTCTAGGCGTCTCTCAAATGCCTGGAAGGCAAGAAATTCTTCATTTCTCGCCTCAACAGACAGGAAAGATTCAAATTGTTGGACAATGGCATCCCCTACAACAAAGTGTGAGAAAATAAGAAGTCAGTCAAATATGCATTTCATGACTGAAAATATTGCCACTTCTGTCTTGTTTTCTCTTCATTTTTGTATTGTGCCAACACACATAAAGGAAATAAAC